CAAATAAGTATACATTTCTATACTAATAACAGTCAAGCTGAGAGTCAAATCAAGGACTCAATACCATCTACAATAGCTACAAAGAAAAGAAAATATCAAGGAATATACTTAACCAAGGAGATGAAAGATCTCTACAAGAAGTACAAAACATTGATGAAAGAAATTGCAGATAACACAAATGAATGCAAAAACGTCCCTTATTCATGGATTGGTAGAATCAACATTGTTAAAATGTCTATACTGCCCAAAGTGATTTGGAGATTCAGTGCAACCTCCCCTCAAATACCAACATCCTATTTTACAAATCTAAAAAAAAAAAAATCCTAAGCTTCATTTTATTCGGAACCAAAAAAAGAGCCAGAATAGCCAAAGCAATCTTAAGGAAAAGGAACAAATCTGGAGGCATCACATTACCTGACTTCAAATTGTACTATAAGGCTATAGTAACCAAAACAGCATTGTATTGGTATAAAAGTAGAGACATAGACCAATGCAACAGAATAGAGAACCCAGAAATAAAATCATCTGCCTACAACCAACTGATCTTTAACAAAGTAGACAACAACATACACTGGGGAAAAGTAAGCCCTATTCAATGAAGGGCTAGATAGACAAATGCAGAAGAAGGAAACATGATTCCTATCTCTCACCATATACAAAAATTGATTTAAGATGGATAAAAGACTTAAATGTAAGGCATGGAGCCATACAAATTCTAGAAAAAAAATGTAGGAAAAACTCTTCTAGACCTTGGCCTAGGCAAAGTATTTATTACTAACACTCCAAAGGCAATTACAGCAACAATAAAAATAAATAAATGGGACTTGATAAATTAAAAAGCTTCTGCACAGCTAAGGAAATAATCAACAGAGCAAATAGACAATCTACAGAATGGAAGAAAATATTCACAAATCATACATTCTACAAAGGGCTAATATCCAGAATCTACAAAGAACTCAAACAAATCAGCAGGAAAAAAAACAAAACAAAACATGAAAAAGTGGGCAAAAGACATGAGTAGCAGTTCTTCAAAAGAAGATAAAAAAATGGTCTACAAACATGAAAAAATGCTCAGTATCACTAATGATCAGGGAAATGCAAATTAAAACCACAATGAGATACTACCTTAACCCTGTCAGATGACCATTATTAAAAAGTCAAAAAACAATAAATGCTGGTGTGGATACAGAAAGGAACCCTTAGGCACTGTTAGTGGGACTGCAAATTAATATAAAGTCTATGGAAAATAGTATGGAGATTTCTCAAAGAACTAACTAAAAGTAGACTTACCATTTGATCCAGTAACCCCACTACTGGATATCTACCCAAAGGAAAAGAAGCCATTTCATCAAAAAGACATATGCACTTGAAAGTTTATTGCAGCACAATTCACAATTGCAAAGTTTCATAAGTGGATTAGAAAATGTGGTATGTATATACCATGGAATGCAAGTCATCTATAAAAAGGAATTAAATAATGTCTTTTGCAGCAATTTGGATGGAACTGAAGACCATTATTTTAAGCGAAGTATCTCAGGAATGAAAAAACAAACACCATGTGTACTCTCCAATAATTAGGAGTTAAACGATGGCCACACACAAGCACAAAGAAATGTAAAGACCATTGGAATCTAAGAAGAGCGGAGGTTCAGAGGGGGTGAAGGGTAAAAGCTTACTTATTGGGTACAGTGAACACTACTTTTATGATAAGCACACTAAAAGAGCTCCAACTTAAGCATTATTCAAGCTATACATGTAACATAAACATTTGTACCTCCTTAATGTTTTGAAATTTAAAAAAATACAGAAGAAAAATTTAAACAGAAAAACAAAAGAAAACAATGAGGGCAATAACAAAAACTATAGCATTGACATTTTTATGGCATACAAATCATGGTACAGTCCATACTGATTTTGTAGCTGAAGCCCTGACCATTGCATTATAATAAATCCAGAAAGGAAAGCTCTGGCTTCCTGAAGAACAGCCTTTAAGAAGGTGTCAGCAGACATGTCAAAATGAACCTCAAAGCCTTCTAGGTTTTGCCTCAACTCTGTAGTAGCACTACATACAGAGTTACCCTTCTGATAATCACTCAGTATGATTCCATTTCAATACAATGAATTCACTATTGCCAAAATCTTGTGACAACAAGAGAAATCTAGCATTATTCTTGTAATCTCCTATCTAAATATTTACCCATCAAATCCAGTATTTAAGGCCTTAGCATCCCAGTTATTTATAAAGCTGCCATTTGCTTTTAAAATGGGCCCAACAGAAATGTTGCCAAGTATAATCACAGTGTGCATTATCATGTATAAATCTCAGAAATATTTGAAGATTTCCATCTCTGTAAAGGTTTAATCATATCTAAAGTGGGGAAAAATCCCTTTCTAATTTGTTCCCTTTTTTAGCGTCTTTACTGATTTGATGAGGCCAGTGTCTCTGGAATGCATTTGCTGTCTGGAACATCCCTACTAGTTCTTGTTTTGATTATGATCACTGTCGCTGGGAGAGTCAACAGGAGGGAGGGGGTTAACGCTGAGTCTTAGTACATACTCACTTTCAGAAATAAATGGACCAGTTCTCCACCACTTTTTTTTTTTTTTTTTTTTTTTTTTTTTTTTTTTTGAGACAGAGTCTCACTTTGTTGCCCAGGCTAGAGTGAGTGCCGTGGCGTCAGCCTAGCTCACAGCAACCTCAAACTCCTGGGCTCGAGTGATCCTTCTGCCTCAGCCTCCCGGGTAGCTGGGACTACAGGCATGCGCCACCATGCCCGGCTAATTTTTTTTTTTTTTATATATATATCAGTTGGCCAATTAATTTCTTTCTATTTATAGTAGAGACGGGGTCTCGCTCTTGCTCAGGCTGGTTTTGAACTCCTGACCTTGAGCAATCCGCCCGCCTCGGCCTCCCAAGAGCTAGGATTACAGGCGTGAGCCACAGCGCCCGGCCTCCACCACTTTTAATAACTGGAATCATCGTTATTAGTTTCTGTTCATATTATGACTTTTTACAAAATAAATAATAATTGATGGGATTCGAAATGTAATCCCAAATTAAAATCAGCCCCAAGGCGGTCATCATCTTCATCATCATCATCTACCGCCACCACTCTGGGTATCTGAGCATTGTTTCCTGCAATTAAATATTCCTCTCATATCACTGTCATCTCTCACTAGAGGACAAATATTTTACTTTTCCTGGCCTAATGCCCAGAGTTAGCTGGGCTAGATTATTTTAAAATAACTCCTTTAACATTAAGTTTGTATTATCTTAACTTTTATTAAAATGATTAGGCATAAAAAGTAAATAATTATATAATTATGACATATAAATTTTTGAATTCAGTACCTATATAGACTGAAATGAGTATTTTAAGGTATAAAGCTTCTCTCTCTCTCTCTCTCCTTCTCTTTCTGTCTCTATCTTGCATGCTTTTATGATATTTATTTGTGTCTATACATTTTACTTCAGCTACCGATAAATGTTAACATTTATCTAGCCCATTTGTCTGAATTCCAGTCTATAAAGCTGGAATGGATTGAAATGACCCTCTTCTCAGCTCCATAATTGATTGTTAACATAATTCAAAGTGATTTAATCTACTTCCATCCCAAAGCCTTCCTAAATTAAAACTTTCTGACCTCTTGATACCCTCAAATTCAGTTTAACAGGGTATATTTATCATTTTCTCTGTAAGAATGATCTAATTTTCTATCATCATGTTTTTTAAATACTGTATTATAATTTTTAAAAAATACTGTATATAAGTATTTAAAGGAAGCTTTTCAAATTACTTACATAGAGAAAGCTACATTTTGTTTGATTGTTAGTTTTTGTTTTGTGTAGTTTTGTTTTGCTCAATGCAGTCAAAAGCAAAGTTAAGGAGTAAGTATTTCAAACATTGGTCTGAAATTCCACTACCACATAAATTCCAAGGTAAATTCCTTTGAGTAAAGTAGAATTAGGAGCTCACTCCCTTCAATTGACGATCCCTGCATTAGTCATGGTGCATTTTCAGGGAGGAAGAAAGGGGCAGAGATAGCTACTACCGCTTCTTTAAAAAAAAAGTACAGATGTAAGAAGTGAAGGCATCTCCTACAGCTATTCTGTGAATGATAATTCTCTTCTAAAACCATTTAGAGTTTAGAGTTTTAGAAAGAAGTTGTTTAACTCCAAAACAGACATTGCTGCCTCTCACAAAGTCAAATTTGCAAAACCAACTGGGAATGCTTAAGGTCAAAATCAAAGAACCATGGTGTGCAGCTCCGGCCTCCTTAGCTGAGAGATAAAGGAACAGTTTGACTTCAGATATTCTAAAAGGAAAATGCTCCAAGAAACAGGTTCAAATAGAAGAAAGGGAGGCAACTCGGATTATAAATACTCCATGACTTAATGATCCATTGCAGCATGGAAAGGATTTCTCTTTACACAAGAGCACTGGGCTGGGGTCCACTTATTACAAAACACATGCTCACTGGAGCTTGACAAATAGCTCCTATTTCATTCCTTTCAAGAAAGCACAGCCTCTAAAAGGATTACTTGAGTTATCTGTAAGTTGAGATGGATCTGTAGCTGCTGGATGTGTTTATGTGACTTTCACCAAAATTTAGTCAATAAGACATTGAAATGCTTTGTCACTCTGGAACAAACCCAGTACAGGAGAGACCCAAATACACAAATAATTACAGATAAAGGGCATCTGTGTGGCTAAAGCCTGGGCTTTTTAAACATGAAAGCTGACTTTAGGATGGATTTAGTTTTCATTATCTTTTGTAAGCACTTTCGTTGTGCTTTAACGAAAAGTTTATTTGGAAGCTCTTTAAATAATAATATGAACATGTTGCAAATTTCTGTTTTCAAATATGATGCAGTTGACATTTAGGAGGGAATATTTTGAAATATATCATGTAGTAGACATCATAAAAGTGTCGGGGAATTCTTTGGCGGGTGTAACGCACTCTGATTTAAGTGTCTGGAATTATTTTTCTGTGTGCAGACCATCCAGTGGGACAAGCGAGGCTTTGATCTCTGAAAGTGAAAACAAAAACCATGAGCATCTCACACACGAGGGGTCTGCGGAAAGTACCACCCTGCAGATTCGACCAGCCACAAAGACCCAGTACAGAGAGTTCTTCATCACCCCGGTCAAGAGTGGAGTTTCCCTAGCTGAGGACCAAAGAAGTGGTCCTGTTTGTAGAGAGAACTTAAAAGAAGAAACAGACTTGGGCTACCAAAGGGCTCCTCAAACGCCTGACTCCCAAAGCGGACTCTTGGCAGAAGAAGTTATCGTAAGGGAAAGGGCAGAAGGGGGGTGGCCAGGCACTATGGTTGAACTCCAACTGTCCCTTTCACAGGAGAGACACAAGGACACTAGTGGCCCCATCGTGGCTCTCCTGGGAGCTGAAAAATCTAAGTCTCCTGACCCAGACCCTAACTTACAACAGGATGGGATTGTCCACATAAATTCAGGCTCTGCTAATGAGAAAGCAGACCCTTGTCTGAGGTCCAGCAAGATAATCCAGCTCTCCAGGGGTACAGAGTTGAGAGTGGTGCAGGGGCGCGAAGCAGGGGACGCGAGGCTGCCCCGGGTGGAAGTGATCGTGGACTGCTCTGACAGGCAGAAGACAGAAGGGTGCAGGCTTCAGGCAGGAAAGGGGTGTGTGGATTCTTCAGGGGAAGGAGGGCAGTCAGAAGCACCTCCTTCTCTGGTATCCTTTGCCGTCTCATCAGAAGGCACAGAGCAGGGGGAAGATCCACGCTCAGAAAAGGACCACAGCAGACCTCACAAGCACCGAGCGCGGCACGCACGTAAGTCCTGCCCAGGGTCAGTGCCCGGGCTGTCAGAAGGGGCTTGGGAGTTGGGGGCATTTTGCTGCTGCTTTGTTTGCATGATTTTTTTTTTTTTTTGGAAAGATTTTTCTTATGTTTGTCATTGGCTTTGTAAAAAGACATTTAATGAATGCACAAAATAACAAATGTGAAATTGTGGAGAATACCAATTTCCGAATGGGAAACGAGGAGTTTGAACTTCATAGTGGATTTAAATGTTTTTCACTGATTTCTTTTTTATCCGTAAAGGCACAGGAATTGTTAAAGAGAATAATATGGTCAATGTGCCTTTTTCAATTTGTTTCAGAAACTTATACTATTTCATGTTAAAATAGCATAAGAGAGCATTTGAAGTCGTGTGGACTCTGAGTTTAAATGTCAAAAACTGTCGAGTCTGCTACAGAGATGTGTCGTTAAAATACAAGCCCTACCACTGATATTAAAAGCAGATCCTCATTTTGAAAAAAAAAAAAAAACAACTCATTGTGCAGTTTGATGATGCTTGCAGAAGTGGGTTTGACAGACAAGGACAAGTGTGGCACTGAGCAGTTGCATGGTCCTCCACATTTCTAAGTCTTCACTAGACTGCAAAGTGTTCATCTACCTTCTTAGACATAGAGGTCAGACTCCAGGGCCATGTGGAGGCATTTAAATGTCCCCAGACAGAAAATATATTTCAATATCAGCCTTTGTGTGGCATTTTGTTTTACCCACGGGAGGGAGGACAGAAAGGAGAATGAGGATAAGAGTGGAAGTTAGGTGTTTTGATTTTTTTTTTTTGTTTTCTTTCATGTATTTGTTTCTTTTTTCACTAAAATTTCATTTGAGGATGTAACATCTCACAGGCAAAGGCGCTCGAATGTGTGGATGTACACAACAAGCAGTGCACTCGGCTGTTCCAAGTGGCATATTAGTCTTCTAACCTATTGTTATCCCTTTCAAAGCATATTTTTAGCATAACCACTTGTAGCTTTATTGGCAAGTGCTGTTAATCATTCCTTATACTTTACGCATCTGGACACCATCTCCACATTTATAGCATATTAAACCAGAGTATTAAGACATCATCCACATACTTTACATGTTGGCAGTGGAGTTAGCAACAACTGCGCAACTGTGACTGTCAATTTAAAAAGTTGTATAACGCTAGTCGAAAAAGGAATTACATTTAGTAATAACCACATTTTTAAACTATTTTCTCTATACAAAATTTGATTGCCAGTAAATATCTGTAACTTTAACAGACAAGGGTATGTGTAATATATCCTTATTAAATAATCATAAAATTATATCCTCTGATTACATTTTATTGTTTAAAAATAAGTCATTGTTTGATATTTTCTTCCAGTGACAAAAAGGCTCATTTTCAACCATAAAATATTCAAAATTTTTTTCTGAATTTTCCATTTAACTATTTTGAGGAATTAAAACCTTTTTTTTTGAGAATCATACTTATTATCATTGAAAGCATGATGAACTATAAATTATAAATTATGGATGCTACAAATTAATTTGCTATCAATTAATTTGCCACCCCTTTATTTTTGATAAAATAAGAATGAAAGAAAAAATTTAAATGTAAATTTTTTAACTGTCATACTTTTGTTTTAAATGACTTAATTTCTGCATCAGTTTTTACGTGCAGTCACAAGAGTCACAAGTCATACAGTTTTTAAATTTCTCCAAGATTTACATTATATCTTGCTGTAATTAAAGTATTATATTTCCAAAATACCAATGCATTTACAAACAAATTTGTCTAGACAACTTTGTAGCTAGAGTTTCTTACATACATTCACAATGATGTAAGTCTGAATTATAACTATTGATTCAGTACTTTCAATGATTAATTCAGTGTTTTAATTTATATCAATTTAGTAGCTGTGAATGGAAAGATTTGAGGCAGTTGTCAGGGTAAGAAACAAAAGAAAAAGAGAAAGGGGGAAACCTACATAGCTAATTTCATTACATTAAAACATCTAGAAAATTTTTAAACATTTTCTTGGGATACCCCCTCCCTTTTTAAGATACTTGGAAACAGTTTTATATTGACATTTTATTTTTTAAATATGGAAGTATAAAGATGTATTATCTTGTTTTTTAGAAAACATTATGTCCTTTTTAGTTTTATTTTATATTCTATTAATTGGCATTTACTAGCCACTTTTTATTGTTAAAGTGTAAAGATTCATAGAGAAACAAATGTATAAAACACACATTCTAAGCAACATATATAAAATATTTTTATGGAAACAAATGGAACAGGGCATTATATAGTATTATATGTATATAGTTTATTACTATATAAGTATAAATTTTAAAAGAAATAAGAAAGATAAATGCGTTGGATTCCTTCAAAATTCAGTACCCAATTGCAAGAATTGTTTCATATTCCTTGCCCCCCCCCCCCCGAAAAAAGGCAATTTCTAGAGTTGCTGTGGTGTCTTCCTTGAACTCGTGCGCTCAATATACTCTTTCACTTCCCCAGGGCTCAGGAGGAGTGAAAGTCTGTCAGAAAAGCAAGTGAAAGAAGCAAAGTCCAAATGCAAAAGCATCGCCCTCCTGCTCACGGACGCCCCCGAGCCCAGCTCCAAGGGGGTGTTGATGTTTAGGCGGCGCCGGCGCAGGGCGCGGAGGTACACGCTTGTGAGCTACGGCACGGGCCGGCCGGCGCGCGGGTCCGCGGAGGAGGACGAGGACGAGGACGGCGCGTGCGCAGCGGAACTTCCGGGCTCCAGCGAGTCGGAGGCGGAAGACAACGAGGAGCTGCCGTCCGACGTCGACGTCGACGGCGGCGCGCCAATTGTGAACTTCGACTGGGACTCGGGGCTGGCGGGCGTCGAAAGGAAGCTGAGCAGCGGGGACAAGATGGAGATGCTGCCCGACACCTCGGGCAAGGGAGCCCTCATGTTCGCCCGGAGGAGGGAGAGAATGGATCAGATCGCGGCGCTGAGGGACGAGGACGGGCCGCAGGGGCCGCCGGGCCCCGGAGCCCCGACTCCTCACGGGACGGACGCGGGCCCGGCGGCGGCGCGGGTCTCCGTGAGCAGAAGCTACCTCGAGCTGGGCCGCGGCCCCGGCCCCGGCGGGGCCCCCGAGACGGCGCACGGGCAGAGGGCGACCCCGACCAACAGGACGGCGCAGCCCTTCCCGGGGCCCGCGCTGCAGCCGGCAGCCCCCTACTCCCCGACGCGGAACGTGACGAGCCCCGTCGCCGACTTCCCTGCGCCGCCGCCTTACTCGGCGGTCGCCCCTCTGCCCGACACCTTCGCAGTAGCGGGCTCGAGCCCGGCACAGCCCCCTCCGTGGCCCCAGCCCGCCCCCTGGGCCCAGCCCGCCTTCTACGACTCATCCGAGCGCATCGCCTCCCGGGACGAGCGGATCTCCGTGCCCGCGAAGAGAACAGGCATCCTGCAGGAGGCCAAGAGGAGAAGCACCACGAAACCCATGTTTACTTTTAAAGAGCCCAAAGTCAGCCCAAATCCTGAACTCTTGTCGCTCCTTCAAAATTCAGAAGGCAAACGGGGTGCCGGAGCTGGGGGCGATTCTGGGCCGGAAGAAGACTACCTCAGCCTGGGAGCCGAGGCCTGTAATTTCATGCAGGGTGGCTCTGCTAAGCAAAAGACCCCACCTCCTGTTGCTCCCAAACCTGCAGTCAAGTCCTCGTCCTCCCAGCCAGTAACTCCAGTGTCCCCAGTCTGGTCTCCAGGAGTGGCTCCAGCCCAGCCTCCTGCCTTCCCCACGTCAAACCCATCGCAGGGCATTGTTGTCTCCTCCATCAAAATAGCCCAGCCTTCCTACCCTGCGGCCCGGCCCGCCAGTTCTTTGAACCTGGCTGGTCCTTTCAAAGGGCCACAAGCAGCAGTAGCCAGTAAGAATTACACACCTAAGCCACCGGCTCCTACCCCGACCGTCAACGCTGCTTATGCTGGTGCAGTGGGACCATCCAATGAGCTTCCAGGAATGAGTGGGAAAGGAGCCCAGCTCTTCGCCAAAAGGCAGTCGAGGATGGAGAAGTATGTGGTCGATTCAGATACGGTGCAGGCGCACGCTGCTCGAGCCCAGTCTCCCACTCCTTCTCTGCCGGCCGGTTGGAAGTACTCTCCCAATGTCCGAGCACCTCCTCCCATGGCCTACAATCCCATCCACTCCCCGTCCTACCCCCTAGCTGCTGTCAAGTCTCAGCCATCAGCCGCACAGGCCCCCAAAATGGGCAAGAAAAAGGGCAAGAAGCCCCTCAATGCTCTGGATGTCATGAAGCACCAACCATACCAGCTGAACGCATCCTTGTTTACTTTCCAACCTCCAGGCGCAAAGGATGGCCTCCCCCAAAAGTCACCAGCCAAGGTCAATTCACCCCTGGCCATGAAGCAAGCTCTCCCCCTGCGGCCAGTGAACGCTGGCTCACCCCCCAACGTGCAGGCTTCATCGGTGTACTCGGTACCCGCCTACACCTCTCAGCCTGCCTTCTTTGCAGAGGCCACCTCACCGGTCAGTGCCTCCCCAGTGCCTGTGGCCGTCCCCACATCTCCAAAGCAGGAATCAGCCTCATCATCTTATTTCGTGGCACCAAGGCCAAAATTCTCAGCCAAGAAAAGTGGTGTCACAATTCAGGTGTGGAAACCATCTGTTGTGGAAGAGTAATCTTGTAGTTCAAGCTGAGTGTCCACTTTGCTTGAAATGAATTGTTTGCAGTGTTACTTGAGTCCCTGAAAATGCCTAGCAAGTCCTCAACTTACTTAATTTCATATGTGTCACCTCCCAATCTGGGTCCAAGGAGCGTAATATTTTTAATGAGTCAAAAATCTAACTCAGATTGACTTAAAACATATTATCTTTGCACACTTAAATAATCCAGGAGCACCCTAAAATAAACATGCCATTATATTAAGTAAGCAGGATACTTAGGATTTATGCTTTAGTCACAAGAAAGACAGTGATCAGTGTTAACAAACTTCAGGACACAGCCTTTATGCAGCATAACAGCTGTGCTCCTTTGGTGAAAAGGTTCGTATGTAGTGAGAATATAGTCTGTACTGACAGATCTCCTTTTCAACCAGTGCTTTCTCTCTATTACTAATGTAAGGAAATAAAAAATCTATAGAGGACAGGGATCACCTCTGGTCTGTCATCCTCAGCCACCCGTTTGATGTTGCACATAGGTGCTCTGAGGACTGTTGGAACGTACATGGTTTAGTAAGAATTGGTTAAGAAAGAGGGTCTTACTGATTACCAAGCACTTACGGTGTATTGGGTTTTTTGCCAGATGTTTGTACATATATTAACTCATTTCAGAAGACACGTTTAAAGTAAATGGGATTGGGCAGGAAGGATAACTGTCCATAGAGATGGTTCCCATGCTCCCTCTTGAGTTACTAAAGGAACTATATGAGCACATCTCCCATTTCCCTAGAAGGCATAACTTTGTTTCCCTCAGGAGAGGCAAGTGGTAGGGTACAGCGAATGAAGTAACGTGTGGAGAGCAGGATGCACATAAAGGTGTGGTAGCTATTGTATGGCCATGGGAAAACATGTGATTGGGACCTGAAGGGTTACTGACTGCAGGGGCTGATGGCGAATCACAAGGAACCTCGGGTGCGTGGAAACTGCAAGGGGAGGTCACATAATTACTAGCATCACTTCTGAGTGGCCTCACAGATTTTTTTTCTCGTGTTCATTTGCTTTTTGACAACTGCTTCTCCCACTGTTCCTTGCAGTTCTATCCTTGCATCACACTTTATTTATGTTTGAGGGATCAGGACAGGTCAGGCAAGGTTACCTTGTGCATTCGAACTGGTCACACTCCAGATCGTCATCTGGCTGGCTAGGAAGTGAATAATGGTACGGAGAGTAAACCTGAAGACCTTTCTCAGGTCTATTTTAAGTCTGAGTCTGACCAACCATGGAAAATATTCAACATGAATTAATGTAGAGAACTGTCAAGCATTTATGACAGCTCCCAGGAAAACCATGTACTCTATGCAGGAGCTATGTTGAGAGATCTCTCAGAAAAACCTGCCTGGTTTGAGGGTACGTGGTACCATTGTAATCCTCTGAAAATATCCTGTTCTTTTTCTGCTGTCACTGTCAATCTGCTATATTTTTCACTGTCCTATTAAAATATTACTTTCTTCTTTATCTGTTCAATGTCTATATTTTTAAAAAAAGTCTTCCTTGTAGGAGCTATTCTGATGTAAGTCTTTTCTCTGGTATTTCCCTCACGGGCTCCCATAACAATTTCCTTTTAGAGTATACCCATCTCTCTATACATCATAAAACTGCAAGCCTTAGGTATTTCTAAAACATAACACACAAAGAGGAGAACTAAGTCAGCTACACAACAATGGGGCTAATTCTTCTGCTTTTTCTCTGAAAACTCTTCCATTGCTTTTGGTGGCAGTCAAGATATAGCTTGGTCTCATACTTGCCTTTTTGGGAAATCAATCAGGAAGATTAATAACAGGATAAAGGAAAAAACAGTCTATCCATTATATAACACAGTTGTTTGTATTACTTGTCCCTTGCAAAGGAAATCTATTGAATGCTGTGCATTTTGCATTCTTTTCTAATAGAACAACCAAAAAAGGCTTCTTAAGGAGAAGCAGGAAAGGAGATCATTTTTATGGCTTTGCATTCTTAACATAGCATTTAAAGAACAGCATGCATTCAAGGAAGGACATGGAACACAAGTAGTCAATTTGAAATAATCGGTTCAAAAGTATCCCCAAATGGTAATGACCCAGAAGTATTTCCAGTTGCCCAGAGGTTTGTGGTATGTAGAAATGTGAAGTGTTTTCAGTTCATTTCCTGTTGGACAGGTGGCAATCTTAGCAGAGACACTATTTGTAGTCGATGACTAAAGACAGAACTAACATGATTGTGTCTTCTAGTCATCCTAGGACTGTCTGTGGTTCCCCTGAACTTTCTAAGAGGCATGTCAGGTATGCATGCAGTCAAAGCATCTACAATTCCGACTGAGAACTGGTGTTATAGGTCTCACTCTGAGGAATATTGGAAGTGGGAGGGAGGGCTAATATGCTCCCTGGAGTGAGGGGGATTTCCTTTCCTTATTCTCCCCCCAACACCCTTAGGGTGCTGTATGTGGCATCTTCCAGGTTGGGTCTATGCAAGTGATGTCAGTGTGGCAGTTGGAAGGGTTAGAACTCAAGACATCAGTTTCCCTCCTACTGGACACCTTTTGCAATCAGTGCTGTTAATTTAGTTGTGATGGTTGTTTGATTGGTTGATTGGCTGGTCATGAGGTTTGGGGAGGCAGTTTTTGTTTAGTTTTTAGCACCTTGCCTCTTCCCTTGTGCTCTATTAGTTTAATTTCTAGGCAGAACACTCATGAAGTCAGTTTTCGTTGTCAGCTCAACAGCAATGGTAATTTACTGAGTGCCTATGTAACATTGGGGACATTATGTGTATCATCCCAAGGAATCCAAGCCACAGTGTGTACAGGCTCTGGGATAGAAACTGAAAGGTAATCAGTCACTGACTTTCTGCAGGACCTTCAACAAATTTCTCTTTCTACGAGTTTCCCTTAATAATGTGTAAGCCTTCTCTTCCTGCCCAGAGTGTTATGCTGCAGTGAGTCTGCGTAACGTAGGAGATTCTAGGAGGAAGAGAGGTGCTGTTAAATATAAGTATGATATATTCCACCTAGTCTTGTTGGAGGGCAGATTGGGAATCTGAGCATTGCCACCTTACTCTTAGAACGTTCACAACTTTATTTCTAATAATTTATTAATAGACACATCCAGTTTTGAGAGAGGAAAAAACATACTATTTCTGCACTGATAGTGTAAAGCATACATTTTTAGGAATACATTTCATATGACACATTTAGGTTATCATTCTAGAGCATGTAAAACTTTTTGCTTCAAAATATATCTAGCATGATTATTAGTGATGATGTACATCAAGCCTCTGCACTAACAGTCTCATTTGTTCTTCACAAGAAGCAACTTATTTTCAGCATAGGAAAACCAATCAGAGTAACAAATAGCTCTTTAGAATAAGCCTGTGTTATTTAACTATTCTAGACAGTGCTGACTGCTCTCAAGAAGCTGTCATTGTAGGACAGCCAAGTATTATCACATAGCCTAAATTCTAGCCTTGGCAAGAGCCACATCTGAGATGTAAAATAAATAAATAAATAAAAGATATACATTTAAAGGGGGTGAACGAACATACATAGGACCATTTTCTTACTTGCAGTTACTAGATTAAAGAACTTTGAAGGTCATTTTGCTGCTAACAGGCATATCGAACACTCTGTGTCTCTCAGTTCAAGTCTCTTAAGAACAGAACGCACATGCCTGCTCGTGTCTGAGCTGAGATTTACTCTGTCAGATAAAAACCCCTTGCTGTGTCTCACTCCATACAGTTATAAACTGTAGAACCTGCAAGCACCACATCCTAAGAGTGAGTTCCTGAAATCAGTTGCTATTTTATGAGTCACCGCCGGCTGGCAGAAAGGGCATTTGAAGTCACAGTCATCAAAAAGAAGTGATTGTTTTCTGAAAAGCCAAATACTTAGAACACTTCCAGAGGGAAGTGGTGGGGTGTGTACTTGTTCCCTCATAAAATCAGGGTCGTTGAGTTTGTTTTAAAAAATTTTTTATAAGTTCATGAGAAAAATACGTCAATTCTAAGAACCAACATTATATTCCCATAAACACTGACCCTTGCTGGTCTTATGTCCCCATATCATTGGACTCTGGGGGACACAAAGACTCGTGTGACACTTCAGAGCTGCTGAGTTAGTCAACAAGTATTCTGGGAAAAATCAGAAATGAATTCTTTTCTAGATGTTCCATCAGGGTTGGCTAAGGGCCAAAAAGCAGGCTAATAAATTCCCACAGGACCCAAACACCAGGCAAAGTTGCTCTAAGAGGCCAGTCTCCGTTTATCCCTCTATGGTTCTAAAAAACAAAAGTGCAGTCATCACAGGTTAGGTCATCCTGTGAGCATCAGGCCAATAAAATCATCTCCCAGCGGAGCCCTCGAGTCAGAACACCTCAGTGTTCTCAGGTGCAGACAGTTTCCCAGTTAAAAGAAAATCCAAAAATTTAAGTTTCTATGGAATGTATATTTGTACACTAAACTACTGCTTGGCTCTTAGAAATCAGAGAACTACTCAGAGGCAATTAAATGGAGAGAAATTTAATTTAAAAAATATCAAATCTGTCAGACATTTCTCAGACTCCTGATTTTATCAAAGGCTTACTAGCTACTAAAGTACATCTCAAGTGCACAGGGAAGAAAGTTAGACATCTAAAGTGTCCTATAGTTTAAGTAATTTTTTTGTTATTCATACATATAATGTTTCAAATTTTCATTTTTTAGTTCTAAATGTAAAGCTTCTTCATGTTTATCTCTGTTTATCTCATTCTTCACATGTCTATCTAAATGAGGTATGCTTTGTGACCAGTGAAATGTAAATTCGAGTCCCAATTCCGAATATCAACAGGAACTACTTTCCAGCCCACCCTTGTTCCTCCACTTGATCATGATAATACTCAAAATCATGACATTCAGGGTTCCCAGGGAGAAATCTTGCTTTCACAGCTTCTACTTCTTGAGCAACTTGATAACTATTAATGATTTGT